AGAAGACAACGTTTCGGCCGTGGAGCCTTCTTCAGGCGCGGGAGAGGGCTCCCCGGCCGAAACGTTGCGTTTTCTTTCTTCTCTCTTCAGCAATGGGAAAAAAACTTAACTTGTTCCTGTGGGGCCCACGCCTGCCGACGCAGCTGAACTACTTCGGGGTAAAAGGACTTATTAACACCACACAAACCCCAAGCTCAAATCAAACAAAAACGTGAAGTGGACGATGTACACCCAGGTGTCCAAAATGAAGCAGGTCAAAACCGTGGGGGGAAAGAAGATGAGTTCTATTCCGCTTGACTGTAGGCGGTCTCACCCCACGCGCAGGTGGCGGGAGCTCAGGGTCACTGCGTGAGAGGTGCTCGTGACCGTCAGTGACTGCACTGGCCTTCCACACTGCTTGTGCGATGGCAGTGTCTCTCGTGCGCCCAACGCTCTGCTGGTTACCTTCACCACCCTGCCCCAGGCGGCTCGTATCGTCTGCCGGGCGAAGGCTACCGAACCAGGACGGGCAGAGACGGACAGAGGGAGCGGGCGAGACGGGGGGGGGGGGGGGGGCTGCAGGACTGACCACGGATCCCGGCCGACGAGACGCTGCCCCTCTGGGAAGGCTCCGACGGCTCCGAGGGAACTCCCGACTCCGTGCCCTCCATCTGCAAGAGGGAAGCAGGCTCAGGCATCCGGGGGGCACGCGTGGCCCTGATCCTCTGGAACGCCGCGGCGTCCGCATCGAACCCCGAGCCCTGCGCGGCGATTTCAACTGCAGCACAGCAACCTGCACCCCCACAGGCTCGCATCTGGGACCCCACTCCAGAGCACAAGAGACGCTGATCGACCACGCTCTCTAGAGCGCAAAGACACCATAAAACAGCCTAACACCGCCATCCACTAACCCACACAATAATCCATACAGAGCAATACCGCCATCCACAATTCCAGACAATAATCTATACAGAGCAATACCGCCATCCACAATTCCAGATAATAATCTACACAGAGCAATACCGCCATCCATAATTCCAGA